GTGGGCATTTGGAAAGCTTTCTTGACGGCACGTGATGGCTTTTGCGTGGGAAAGTGGTCATTTTGTGTGGGGATTGATTTCAGCACTCTTCATGGGAATGTGCTGGGCCGGCCCCCGGGCGTCATTTCCTCGACTGCGGTGCGGTAAGCGGTGCGTGCGTTTTCATTCCCGTGAAAGTGTCTGACGAGGGTCTGCCCTTTCCCGCAGGCTCCTCCTCGTGCCCCCGTCCTTGGAGCCAGCGTCTCAGCGAGGGGCCGCAGCGTGACAGGAGCGGGACATGGGGCAGAAGGGCCCCCGGGACGTGTCGTGTCGTGTGGCGTCTGCAAGGGTCACTCTGGGCAGTCCGAGGTGTGTGCGGGGCCTGCAGCCGTCCCTTGGAAGCAGCCAAGGCCCCACGGGCGACAGGTGAGTAGGTCTTTCTGCTTTGACACGCTCAGCGGACGCTCAGCTTCTGCCTGGATGCACATCACCACGTAGCCTGCTCCAGCGCTAACACATCCAGTCATGCCAGCTCTTGCCTCTACTGCTGGCAGCACCCTCCCAAAACAATGAGCTGCACGTGGGCTGTGTGGTGGGAGAAACCTCGCTAAGGTTCGTTGTCTAGCTGTAATTTGATTGACAGACAACGCGGGTAAAGAAAGACAGCTGTTTATTTGCTCGAGCAAAGACCATAAAGCCAGCAAAAGGCAAAATGGCCCCCCGCTAAGGGTGAGGTGATCTTTTATACTTATTACAACATGGCAAGACTTCATGGTTAACAAAAAAAAGCAATACTTGGGCGGTGCTTTTCAAATCTTTGTAACAGCATATTTCTATTAAGCTGAACTAGCACTTTTTTAAAAGCTAAAAGTTAAGTAACAGTAACATTATAATATGTTAGCAAAACCTTACACAGTAGTAGATACTTCTCAAGGACACAACCAGTGCACCCAGAACAATGGTTTCCCTGTCTTATCTTATTTCTTGCTGTAGCTGATTTTTCAGCACACAGACACAGATCCACTTTTTAACTCAGAAAATGCTTAATACAGTTAAAATGATTACTTGACACAAGCAAAGGCTTAGCTATCATTCTGCCTTGTGGTCAGCTGCATTGCTAGGCCACAGGTCATGCCTTGTATTCAGCTGTAAAGCTAATACTTCCTAATAATCTAAATTATTGTAAACCTAACAGTATGCTTATCAGAAAACTATTCTATTTCAGGGTAATAACAAACCTGCTCACTACACATGGAGCACTTCTGTACACACCCTTTGTGCTGAGCTGTGTTCTGTCACAACTACATTGCTAGTAGTACCTGAGGGAGTTACACAATGCAATGCATATTGCCTTATGAAAGTGAATGTCACACGATGTGTATAGGACAATATTACATATTCATGTTCAAAAACGGATTAGAAAAATTCATGGAGGATAGTTCCCTTAGCCTCATTTTTGTGCATAATAAACCTATAACCCTGGGCTCAGGACATCCTAATCCTATGACTACTTATAATTGGGGAATCTAACAGGATAAATCAGTTAACATGCACTCTTTCTTATTTTCTAAAGCAGTGGTGCTTAACCTTCTTGCCCCATGGGTCAGATAGGCATTGCCCAGTCCATCAGTGGCATGGATCCAGCTGGTGGGCCCAATCTAACATACAGGTTAGATTGCCCAAGGGCAGGCACAACAGGGCCCAATCTGGCTGTGCGGGGAGAAGCGGAGTGGCTTGCCCTGATCCAGCTATAGGAAGAAGGGCATTGCCTGGCCCCTAGCTGAGTATAGGGGGGAAGAGAGACAATGGGGCTGGGAGCTGCAGGTTATCTGGGTGCTGTGCTGCGTTCCCCTTGCCTTCTTCCTGCACCCTCTCCCCCACGTTGAATCCCCAGCACACAGCCAAGCTAGGCTGGTGCCACACTGTTCCCATTTGCCACTTCAGACCACATGGCCACAGCTGGTGCGGCTCCTGCCCAACCCAGGACTCGAGATTGGACAGGAGCTGTTCTGGGGTTGGGGAGAAGTCACGCCAGCTGTGCCCATGTGGTATAGCCCAAAGCAGTGCATGGGAAAACAGTGCAGCACTGCATTAGTGGCACCCATGTCCCTACCAAGCCCTAATAATAGTATGATTCCAGGCCCTTGGTCTACATTTGGCCTCTTGTCAGAGGCACTTCTAGATGCCCAAACTAAATAACAAGCCTCAAGTTCCCAGCCCTGCACCAGGTCAGTTGGAAAATCTGCCACTGATTTGAGAAATCAGAAATTTCAGGGTGCTATGCTAGAGGGCAATTCAAACCCAGACCTGGCATCCTTGGTGTGTCTGGAGACCCTGGTAAATATTTTTAATTCTTACATGCAGCATTTTCTGGCAAGTTGATTTCTTCTAAACATTATTTATTTCTCAGTCTTTTCCTAAGCTCAATGTTGCCTCTCTGTAAGTGCGAGAATATTAAATTATGAAGCTTTCAGAAATGCTTGCAATAGAGAGAAGAAACTTTTTACTTCTGGGTCTATTCTTGGGTGGTTCAGGGCTCTAGGGAGTGATTTCCTAAAGCTCTTCTGACTAGAAACTGATAAATATACTTCCAACCACAATTAGTTAAACCATCTCATCTGTATATAGCAACAAGTCAGTTAATATTTAGCAGCTCACATGCTGAAAGTATCTTACTAGATACTTTGGTTAAAGAAGAGAAGACATCTCAAAATGAGAAGACTGAACATAAAAAGAAACCCAGTAAGTTCCATTCTTCAGCAATATTTTTTGGGTTATTTCAGAGGGACATTTATAACCCCAAATACACAAGAGATGATTTCCATTCTTTATTGACTTTAAATCTTTAAAAAAATTTCAACATGAAAATTGATGGTTTGTCTATAGTGAGACACTTTGGGAAGTTTAATATGTATATGTTCTTAAGTGAATTGGGAAAAATGCATTATATCCCTGTGTTCATACGTCCACTCAAAATGGTCTTTTAATTCAGATTACTTTTAAAAAACACAACAAAGGGGTTAAATCAAAATAAGGCTTCTTTACTTCTGGATTAAAAAAATCTTCATGGGGTATCAATGCACCATGTTAAAGTCACATTATTGTATACCTTGAATTAGTATTGACTGTCTTCTTTAAATACCTGTGTGTGGGCAACCTTGTGATGACCTTAGAAAAGAGAGCGAGTGTGGGATGTTAGTTTCAGTTTCTCCAACTGAAAATGTGGACAAAGGAATATAACGTTTCTAATATTCTTACATATTTTAAGAAGACTAAATAGGAAGAAGTGCCACACAATTGTTAAGTGCTTGTATTAGATCTGGGAGTGCACATGGGATAGTATGTGGTGCATGTAGCAGTGATGATTAATAGACTGGAGAAGGGGTGGGACAGTTATGCTTTTCATAATTCAAAATAAGGCAAATAGAGCATATGAGAGACAAATGGAGAAAAATATGTGATTTTACATGAGGCAGAAATTCTAAAAATGTACAGTGTGGCTATCTATCTGATGCCATCTCTTCTTTCACTTTCCGTCTTATTTCTTTGTCACTAGTTCGCTAAATAGATTAATATGCAACTAGAGGTGAGATGCTATCTCTAGCTGGGAAGAATACCTACAAATTGCGTAGTAATTGCTATTGCAGTGAAATATATTAGGGATTTTCAAAGCAGTGATGTTAAGTAAAAACCTGCATGAATGACTATGCTTTGGGAACTTAAAAGATCATTACAGTTACGGTTAAGATAAGGAAGCTAGAAGCCAATTTAGAAAGATTGATTACATGTAAATAATATGGTATTAACATAAGGGTGCAGAAGACAGGCAAACAGAATGAAAAGGAAGCTAGCTTGGTAGCTATATAGATGGCATATTAAAAAATAAGTAAGGAATCTGGAAAAAATATTTTTCCCTCATTCTCTTTTTCTCTCTTAGCTTTCTATCTTCCTGTGTTGTTTCAAATGTGTGTGTGTGTGTGTGTGTGTGTGTGTGTGAGCGCGCGTGTATTATATGTATTTTAAAATAAAGAAAAAGCAAACAAACAAACAAAAAAGAAAACGACAGTAAGATGTTAACAGAAAAAAAGCTCAATGTCTCCCAGTCAGGCAAATAATCTTAGGAAAAGCCAGAAATAGGAATGCCTAAGGATGTCTACATTTTATTCCTGTGGCTGACTGAGGTTGTGAGGATCTGGTTAGAACAGGGTACTAGGACTTAAGACTCCTGGGTTGTGTCTTAATTTTAGCTCTGGTTCCATCTGGAACCACACGATAGCTCTTTCACTTCTATACACAAGATCAGAGATGCTCAACCCCCAGCCCACAGGCCAGATTTGGTCCCCAGAATGATGTCATTGGACCCATGGGGTTTCCCCAGATTCCCCAGGGGCTGTGTCCTGTGCACTGTATTGGATGTGCAGGGTGGCATGGGGCATAATCCTGTCAGGTGGGGCTGGTTGGGGGCAGAAAGGGGCTCCTTCAGTCCAATCTGGGCCAGGCAGGGGCTGTGTGGTACACCTGCAGCCAGGGCAGGCCCTGAGTTCCATGCCACATGTACCCCACCCCCACATGCCATAATTGGACCCCAGAGATCAATGCCACTGCTACCCAGTGAGGATGAGGCTCAGGCTGGGTCAAGGCAGCACAAAGCCCTGAGGCTATCCAGCCTGTAGACTAGTCCTGTGCCGTTCATCTGAGGGAGGGATGTGTTATCCAATCAGTCAATAGCCAGGGTACACTGATTCAGCCAAGTAGAAATCGGGATATTAAAACTGAAATTCATGAGGTTCAGTTACCACCCCCAGCTTTGCAAGAAGTAGGAGCAAATGCAGGAATCAATATTCCAATCCTTTCTCGCTTGCCCCACTGTAAAACAACGGAGTCACACAAATATCCATCAGCTAAGACTCCTGTTTAAGGAAATCATCAGGTTATTGCAATACAAGAATTGTTCACTAATCTTCTCTGAACCTTAATTCTTGTCTTTTTCTTGACAGACAACCCACGTGTACTGTGAAAACATGATGAACCAGACTGGCACTGTGTCCGAGTTCCTTCTCTTGGGATTCTCTAACTCTCGCAAGCTTCAAATTTTATATGTTGTGATAGTTATGTTGATGTACCTGGCAGCTTTGATGGGGAACCTTTTCATCATCACAGTTGTAACCCTCCACCATCACCTCCACATCCCCATGTACTTCTTCTTGATGAATCTGTCCATCCTGGATATTGGCTCCGTCTCTGTCACCCTCCCTAAATCCATGGCCAATTCCCTTTTGAACACAAGGTTAATTTCTTACTTTGGATGTGTCGCCCAACTTTTTTTCTTTGCCTTCTTTTTGGGAACAGGTTTTTTCATTCTCACTGTCATGGCATATGACCGTTATGTGGCCATCTGTAAACCACTGCACTATGAAACAATAATGAGCAGGAGAGCTTGTGTCCAAACGGCAGCCATGGCATGGATTGCTGGTCTTCTCCAGTCTGCTATGCACACTGGTAGCACATTTACAGTCACATTTTGTAAAGGCAATATAGTAAACCAGTTCTTCTGTGAAATCCCACACCTGATCAAGCTCTCTTGTTCTGACTCGTATCTCAGAGAATTTGGGGTTCTCGCACTCTCTGTTCTTTTAGCCTTGAGCTGCTTTATTTTTATAATGGTATCATATGTTCACATTTTCACCACAATATTGAGACTCCCTTCTGAGCAGGGGAGGTACAAAGCCTTCTCCACCTGCATTCCCCATATCACTATGGTCTCTTTGTATCTTATTAATGGCACCTTTGCTCACATGAAACCCCCTTCTCTCTCCCCTTCTAGTCTGGATTTAATCCTAGCTATTCTTTACTCTGTAGTTCCTGCATTGATGAATCCAATAATCTATGGCCTAAGAAACAAAGATATCACAGTTGCATTGAAAAAAATGATTCAGTAGAAGGGATTCACCCCTAGTGAAGTGTCTATCTCTTTCTAATATACTTTCTCTTCCTCTTGTTTCTTCATCAATGCTCATTGATTTCTATGAAAATACATGTTGGGCCACATTTTATTCCACTTCTTGGGAATCTAAGAGCACTTAGATGCCTGAGTGTGATTTTATTCCATCATACTCTAGTCCCTGAAAAAATATTAATTCAAAAGTTGGTTGAGTCCTCATCTTCTTTGCTGCCTTTTTTGTGGTTCACTGTAAGAAGGCAATGTGTTACAAAAATAGATACATAAATGGATTTTCAGGACTAGAGCAGGGTGAATAGAGTCACTCTTAGATATCTAAGTCCACTTAGATATTCAGTAGGTGGAGTAGGATTTGGATGTCAGAAACTAATGACAACTGCTATACTTGCTCAAACTATTAGTCCATCTAGTCCACAGTTATCTCCTTCCAACAGTGTTAGGTATTGGCTGAGAAGAATCTGTTCTGGTTGCACATTTGCTTTATACATACAATTATTTGTAGAATAACTTATTGCACTGATTATTTTTTTTTGGTCAACTGTGAGCTTTCTGAAGGCTTAAAATGAAAAGATGCTTCAGGTTATACTACATGATTAAATGCATTGTGCTCATGATCAACTCAAGCTTCATTTGTTCTCACAGCTTCTCCTCTACTTCCTTCCACTGTCCCAAAACCTGTCTTTTAATGTTTGGCTCTTTGTTAACTTTCTTGTTGATCTTCAGCCAGATTCTTGTGTTGAATTTTCTTAAAATTTATCTAAAAAAACCTGGAAATCTTCAGGAACAAAAAAATCACATTAGTTCTGTATAAAAATCTGGACCAGGGTGAAGCAGCTTTTTTTACTGTTCTCAATCTTATCATACAGATGATCAGTCACTGGCTTCAACATATTTCCAAAGAATCCTAGCACACAAGTGGGCTTAACAATATTTCCAAATAATCCAGTTTCCTTTTGAAATCACTTATAGAGCTCAAAGTAGCTTCAGAAAGGCATTCAAATGCATCATTAAAATAAACATAAGCAGGTTCAGGGGAGATCAAGAGGGAGTGCAGTGGCAGTCTTCTGCCTATCCCCTCCCACTCCAAATCAAACCACATTGCAAAAGCGGTAGCTAGGGACTTTAAGTCCCTAAAGCAGATAAGAATCCCAGCAAACACCTTTCATCATCCTTTACTTTCCCCTCTGTGTTCAGAAACACATCCCCTCCCCTTTCATTAAACCTTCCCCTACTTTCCATTGCTGCCATCCCCAGCTGAGCAGGGTGGGAGGGATTTCCAGAGCTGCTCCTGCTCCCTTCCAGCCAGGCTGCATTGGAAACCAGGGTCTTTTGGGGGCAGTGGCAATGGCAGACAGGTTTGGCCTCCTTCTATAGTCCCTCTGGATGTTGCCTGCCGTCACAGGAGCATGCATGTATAGGGGGAACCTGCCCACACTCACTGCTGTCCCTGACAAAACCTGTTCCCTGTGCAACCTCCCTGCAGCCCAAGCTGGAGCAGGCCAAGACACACTTAGAAAGGGGCAATGCCTGTGAGTCGGTGTCCCAGTTGCCATCCTGTTTCCATATCTATAAGTAGAGACGACAATGAGAGGAAGAGTGGGGAGGTGGGAGGAGGTGCTGCTGGGCATGGAGGGAAAGGGAAGGGTTACCAAGAGGATGTGGGGTGATTCCTAACTGTTTTCTTGCTTTGGGGAGGTAAAATCCCCAGCCGTTGCTCCTATGGTGTGGTCTGCATGCCCTGCTGGAAGCTGGAGAGAGGCTAGGAGTGAGGGAGTGCAACCACGCCTGTGGCACCCTGCTCCTGCACTCCCATTTTTAAAACCCTGGATCTACCTATGAGCAGATGCAATCATTATAAAAGTCTTGAAAGGGAGATAAAAAAGACATGTTCTTAAATAGGTAAACGTCATTTGAAAATTTCAGAGAATACAATCTTTTTCATGTAAACATCTTCCATGTTGGGTAATATTCCTTGATCATTTGTCTGTATAATGTCCATTTTCTTGTGGTTAAATTATTTCACTTTTGACATTGCCACTTACGGCTGGCCACTTCCAAATACAGGCTATGGTAGGTAAACATCTACTCTATCAAGTATGCGATTTTGACTTTTGTTGATGATCATTATAAAGCCACTTTGATAGGAAAGTGCCTCCTGCATGTCTTAAAAAGCAGAATTTTATCTGATAGACATAATGTGATTCTTAGCAAATGGCTAGGTATTCCAGCAGCCTCTCCTGTTCTTATTTCTAATTTTTGAGTGTTGTCATAAAATCTTTTTACAATAAAATGCATGCGGTTGGTTTAAGATTTTCTTTTAATCCGCATTTTGTAACGGGGTCACAATCATTCCCATCTTAAGTGTGAGCCTGTGAGGAGACAAACTGCTCAGGGTGCCTATAGACATTAGGGCCCCACTCTAACTCATGGCACTTTACATAAAGTGCCATGAATTAGAGCCTCTAAGATGCAATCGGCCATTTAAAAAGCTCTCTGCAGCTGTGTCTGTGTTATGTCATTGCTGTAGAGCATTTTCAGGGGCCCAAACACACAAAATGTTACTTGTGTAAGCACCCTGAATGACAAACTGTTGAGAAATTCAGTTGGATGTTGGATATCCTGCTTACCACATTCATTATCTACACTATCTATGCTTAAGTATATACTTTCTTCTCTAATAATTCTGGCAATTTTAACATCATTTGTAACATTATCGTGTTTTGGGGGCAAAGAATCACGGAATAGGAATTGTGGTAAATGGCATCCTCTGAAAAGTCCTTCCCATAGACCTACTTAACTAAGTTGCCTTCTCTTAAGATGTACTTTTTTGGTACTCTGATAAGATCAGAGCAATTTCCATAGGTAAGCTACAAAGTCATCCAATCCAACTCTCGTGTTACAATGAATTATGAGTACTTTAAAATGTCTCCGCAGTGGTAATGTTAGATGAAAATAAGGCAGAGATCTGCGTTGCATGAAGTCTCACATCTGACTGAAGGCCAGCACTCCCTGCCAGAAAGCTGAGGAGTTTGCAGACAGCAAGTGCACATGTGCTGAACACTTTTTTTGGTGGATGCTTTTATAGACGTTTACATGATTTTTGAATTTTGTACAAAGCTACACGCTAAGTTTTGCACAGCACCCAAAGATCTCAAAGTCATTGTCTAATGTTTTCCAACACAAAACTTCTTGGAAATTTATTTTTACCCTGCACTATAGGGATCCCTTCTGTATAGCATAGGGTTTCTGTCCTCAGGTACTCTTATAACAACAGACAAGTGTTTACCCATGGTGGCGAATAATACTGATATTTAAATGGTGACATAGTTTCTAGGAAGTGGATACAGATCTCCTGTCCACTTTATACAGGCTACCACAAAGTTATTTGGTTGTACTAAGTCTTGACACTTTGGGCAAAACTGGCCACTAACTGCCTTGCTGTACACTGGGCTCGCTCTATATAGAATTGAGTGCCTGCCAGGTGGTACACACAGCTAAACGTGAGCATTTTATTTCTGGCAAATGTTTAATGAGAAATACATGCAATATTATAAGGAGAAAAGCATTCAGAATCAGGACAGAACATGAAAAATCAAATTTCTACTGACGATTATTTGTGCGAATGCAGCTCAAAAGAACCAAGCAGCTGATTTGTTTTTCAATTAGCTTCCTTGGGTAGTGAAGTCACTGAAGTGCCAGCACATCTGCCAAAAAACCAAAAAATCTGCCAAAATTGTTTTGTGAAGATTCTTGAGGTTTCAGATAATATCTCTCTCTCCATATATTGAAAGTTGCCATTGCTCACACACATCGTTAAAACATGCCAAATTCTTAACAGTATTGCAACCTTCCAAGAGAAGCAGAGCCATTCATACATTTCAGGAATTATTCTCCATCCCCCCAAAATGATAAAAAATTGTCAATTTTCTTTTCATCCAATATCTACAATGCTAATATCCCTGGAAATTAAAAAGCATTAACAGTCCCTATCTAAAAATCTCCAATTTCACCCCAAATGTCCTAAGAGTTTATGCTGATAGCATAACAAAACAAAAAAGGAAGCAAATAAATGAATAACCCCCTCCCCCCCTTCACATCCTGGGAACGTACAGAGAAGCAGCAGCAACAACAATAACAACAATAATAAATACATCTGATAATATAGGAATCCCACAATAGTCATACTTGAACCAAAGTCCTATCCCAAACCTGATAAGAACTAGACATTCCCTCAAGTAAGATGTCCAGATAGCATTTTAAGATTAGATGGAGAGAGCGAGAGAAATGGATTTTAATTTTATATGCTACATCATAAGAAGTCCTTTGAATTCAGTAGTGCTCCAGGAAATATGCAAGGTACAAGACTTATTGTAGGTGATATCTTTTCTTGGAAAAACTGCATAGTTGGATAAGTTGTCCTGAAGGTTAAATAGTGCAAGAAAAGGCATTATCTGCAAAAAATCCTTCAACTTCATTGTGCCTAATCTGAACCAGCTAGATAATGTAAATTCTGCATTAAAATAGATTAGAGAACACATCATCACAAAGAAAATAATCTTATTTGATTAAATTAACGCAAATGAGTAATTCAGCCACAGTAATTAAGGGAAACTACACGAGTAATTCCTTCTGAATAATATCCATTGGATCACTTCCCACAAGGCAACTTTCATCTCCTTGTTCCTAATGCTGTAGATGACTGGATTCATCACTTGAGGTACTGTGGAATAGAGAACACCTACCAGGATGTCAAAAGCTGATGGAGAGTTGGAGGTGGGTTTCAGGTAGGCAACAATGCCATTTGAAAGAAACAAGGTGACCACCATGATGTGAGGAATGCAGGTGGAGAAGGCTTTATGCTTCCCCTGCTCAGAGGGGATTCTGCGCACAGTGATAAAGATCTGAACATATGACACTAGGATGAATGCAAAACAGACTAAGCCGAGACACACACCAAATGCCACGATTCCAATTTCACTGATGTTTGCATCAGAACAGGAGAGCTTGACCACCTGGGGGATATCACAGAAGAACTGGTTTATAACGTTTGAGTCACAGAAGGGTAAAGTAAAGGTGTTACCAGAGTGCAGTGCAGAGTACCCAATAGCACTGACCCAAGCACTGGCTGCCATTTGGGTGCAGGCTCTCCTGTCCATTAAAGTCCCATAGTGCAAAGGCTTGCAGATGGCAACATAGCGGTCATAGGCCATGATGGTGAGGATAGCAAGGTCAGCTGTAACAAAGAAGATAAAGAGAGAGAGTTGGGTGACACATCCAGCATAGGAAATTGTCCTGATGTTCATGATTGAATTGGCCATGGATTTGGGGAGAGTCACAGAGATGGATCCAATATCAAGGATGGATAAATTCATCAAAAAGAAGTACATGGGGGTGTGGAGATGGTTGTTGAAGGCTATGACTGTGAAAACAAGGAGATTCCCCATCACGGCTGCCAGGTACAATGTTAGGAAGAGGATAACGTGGAGAATCTGCAGTTCCGGCGATTCAGAGAATCCCAGGAGGATGAACTCGGTCACGGTGGTTTGGTTAAACATATTATTTTTCAAGGCCTGTTCCAGGAATGTATGTTGCCTATACCAGTAAAAAAAAAAAAAAAAGGACTGTGGTCAGAATGAATATAACAAAGAAAATGGACCTGATTATCTTGTTGTCTGTGACTTTAGCTTCAAATCTGCCCAGTAAGACAGGTGCAAAATTTCTAGACACACATCTTTTTGTTTCATGAAGAAACTGGCTGGGGAATAAAGTAAATCATCCACAAGGTCAATCTGATTACAGAAAAAAATATTCTGATTTCTCATTTAAAAAACAAAAACACCACAAAAAGAAGTTTTTCATCTACCTAATGCCTCTAAACTGTCTGTGAGGAACTTGGTTTGCTTGTCCCAGCTCCAGTTTTCCACGGCAGGCTTTGAGGGCAGACAACTTTTCCCATGATCAGGGCTCCCATCATAGAATTGTTTAGCTAAAAATATTTCCTATGAAAATGAAACATGAAGCATCATGTGAAGTGTAGCGTGGTCAGAGAGCCTAGCATGGAGAGGGAAGTTTGGCATGAACCACCCTGTTCTCCAATGTAGGTGTTATATGTGGCAGTGTGCCCAAAAATTTTTTTGGTTTTCAAAAGATCATTTTGTGGCGAATAAGGTGTCCTAAGTGTCCTAAGCATTTATTTTTTTAAATTAAAAATTGTATTATTATTATTATTATTATTATTATTATTATTATTATTATTGTGGCAGGATGTCAGTGAAAATGTAAACAGGTAGAAATTAGAAAGACAAAGGTAAAATGTGGAGGGAGGGGGAGAAAGCAGAGGAGGGGAGGGAAGGCCAAAGGGAAACACTACAGTGATAATAATACAAGGTATTATTGTATTCTAGCACTGTTGTCTCCCTTTGGCCTTTTCTTTCCCTGCTTTCTTCACCCTTCCTTACCTGCTTTACCTGTTGTCTTTCTAATTTCTACCTATTTACATTTTCACTGATATCCTTCCACACTTTTAGCTTCTCTCATTCCTTGGAGTCTTAGACCAGGAGAGGCTGCATATGCCTGAAGAAGTGTGACTGCGCCCAAAAGCTTGCCTAGAACTTTTCCCCAACTACTCAGTTGGTCTAATAAAAGATATTGCATCTACCCAAAGAACCTTGCCTGCCTGTGTCCTTAGACCAATACGACTATAACTAAAAACCCCTTAGAAAGGCTAATTATTTACTGTGACAAACAAGTGGTTAACAGTTTTAGCGTGAAACTACGGCATTAACATTTTCACATAATGGCCCCTATTTCCATGGACATAGATGGACATTTTAGAACACACAGAGGTATATAATGATTCCAAACTATTTTCCAGGTGCAGACTACCTCCTACTTGGTTACATATTGATATCTGCCCCCAAATCCAAGGCATCTTTGTGCCATGAAGTAATTCGGTAGTTGGGGGATATTTCAGCTTTGCTGCACAACTTTATTTTCCTGGCCAGCTTGATATAATTGAATCAAATGATAATAATATTCCTTTTAAAAAAAAATCACACAGTAAATCAGAATCACATCCGTATATTATCCTTTTACATGAATAAAGTAAAAAGTATATAGAAATAAAAAACTTACTGTGCTGGAACTTTTGTATTTTGCTCACAATTTCTGATCCATTCAGTTTTTCATTGTCTAGATAGTTGAGCCTCTCTCTCTCTCTCTCTCTCTCTCTCTCTCTATCTATACCTGGAGTTAATGGGTGCAAATGTACAGACACCTAAGAGTAATTCACCTCTTTCTCTCTCTCTCTGAGCTTGAATTGACAAAGGAGATTCAAGTCTGTTTCACTCTCCAGATAATCTGTCTGTAACTGGCATGAAGGAACTATGGCAAGTGTGGAGGCAGTTTATTAGTATCTCTTTTCTAAGAGCCTGTGGGACTTATTCCCTAAAGCTTTTCAACTCAGAAGCAAAGGCCAGAGACAAACATGTAAAGATAAAAGGGACCACTGTGATTCTCTTTCTTGGCCTACTGCAGGCCACAGGACAGAAGATCTTTACTCAGAGTTTCTTGCCCCTTCCATAGGCTTGGTGTCATCTGTGTCTCTGACAAACAAAAGTACAGAGGCACCTAAGGTTGCACATATGTTCAAAGTCTCATATACATTTTATTATATATTTATATATAAATATATAATAAAATGTATATGAGACTTTGAACATATGTGCAACCTTATACATATACACACATTTTATATATATATACACACACACACACATTTATTTATATATAAAAGAAATCTCCTATGCGGATTGGTTCATATAGGCTTCTCATAACGCAAGTGGCAGTCTTCCTCTTTAAGTACCTCAAAGATTTGGCAGCTGCCGGCTTGACACGGAGGTTGGAGCAGCAGGACAGGATATTCTAGATGGTTCTGACAAGTATTTAGTAGCTCTCTTCAAGACCTACAAATGAAGGTATGAAAGTTTGGAGCAAGGGCCTAGGTCAAGATTTTGTAATCAGCACAGAGGGGTGATATACATCACCAGTTTTTAATGCTACTGTGATCTCCCTTCCTGAGAAGCAGCATGAGGACTCCCTGCTGACAGTTGACTGGTAGGATGACATCCTTAAGGCTGTACTGGAAGACATCCAGAGGTCCAGGCCAAGGAGGAGCCAACAGATCTTATAGAATTCAGTGGGGAATCCATTGAGGTCCAGAGGGTTTTTTTCATGATGAGGGCCTTAGGAGCAGCAGTCAGATTTGGCAAGGCTAGCTCCTGCTCCAGCTCATTATGGAAGCATAGGAAGGTAGAACTGTCAGGTTCTTCACCAGATACCCTAGTCCAGTCCCTTGCTCAAGGTAGCATCATCTCTGACTACACCATTACAACAACTCTGTCTAACCTGCTCTTGAACATGTCCAAGAATAGAGATTCTACAACTGCTCTAGGTAGCCTTTCCAATGCTTGACCACCTACATAGCAAAAAGGTTTCTTCTAATCTCCAACCTACATTTCCACTACTGGAAGTCAAGGCCATTGCTCTTACTCCTGTCCGCTATGGTCGCAGAGAAAAATCCACTTTCATCCTCTCTAAAATTTCCCTTCAATTATTTGAAGAATGTTATTCCCCCCTCAGTCTTCTCTTCTCCAGATTAAATAACCTTAGTTCTTTCAGTTTTTTGTCATAAGTCTTGCTTCCCAGGCTTCTCCATGTTTCTAACCTGTTCACATCCCTTTTGAAGTGGAGGGCCCCAAAACCAGACACAGTACTGCAGGTGGAATTCCTCCCACCAGGGCTGGATTATGACAGACTTGGGCCCTGAATTTAAGAGGCCCCATAGCATTACTAAAAAAAGTGATAAAAAGGCATTCATCTTCAATGCCTGATGAAGGGTGTTTGTACCAGAAATCTTGCAATTAAAGAGATTTTTGTTTTGCAAAAATCTTGTTGGTCTAATAAAAGAGATCATCTCTATTACGAGTCCTGATCATAAAAAAAGTGAAACACTCACAAAATCCGTCACTTCCCCTGCCACTTTGGGACTAGCTGCTGCTCCCCCCCGCCCCGGCCGGCCTGGAAGTGGCAGGGGAAGCTTGCACACGACTGCTGCTGCCTCCACTAAACACTCTGCTTGTGGCTGGTGCTCCAGGACCAGACGCCGCTACCCCCTCACCCCTCCCCAGCTCCACAACTGGCTGCAGTGCCAGTTTAAAAAAAATGGCATTTTCAAATTTCTGGCACAGGCTCGGTCCCAAGCACGCTGGAGGTTTTACATTTCCTCCCCCCTCATATTTAGAGGTCCCTCATAAAGTGAGGCCCTAAGCTGTAGCTTACTTAGCTTGTGCCTAAATCCAGCACTGCCTCCTGCTAAGAGAAAAGAGTGGCTTGGGTCCAAATGCTGGTGGAGAGCTGGAGCCAGAAGCTCACAGCTCCTGCTCACGTGTCCCACTGGCCAGCACCGAGTCCTACCCTACCCCCACACTGCACTAATTAATACACTGCACCCTGAACTGACTTGCTGCCATCAGTCCCACCCCACCCCTTGCAACACACTGAGCCCTCCCTTGCCTGTCCAAGCATTGATAGGATCATAGGAAAGTAGTACTAAATGGGACCTCACAAGATCATCTAGTCCAGGCCCCTGCTCAAGGCAGGTTCATTCATGACTAAGCCATGACAGCCAGTGTCTGTCTAACCTGCTCCTAAAAAACTTACAAGGATGGTACTCCCCATCTCTTGGAAGCCTGTTCCAATGCTTGACTACTTTCAGTGTTGCAAATTCCTCCTAATCTCCAAATGGCCTGCAATTTATGAGATGAGATACAACAAAGAAAAGTGCCTGCTGGAGCAGAGCTGTAAAACTCTAGAGCGTATGCCATTCTACCCAACTTGGTGTTATCCACAAATTTGCTAAATGTGCACTTGATCCTGTTATGCAAATTTTAATGAAGTTGTTGAACAATACCAAACCCAGAACGGTCCCTGAGGGAAACCCACTTGAAACTTCCTTCTGAAGAGGCATTTTCTCACTAGACATTAAGCCACTCGCAGAGCATGATGATACAACCAGTTACATATCCACCTTACAGTATGTTCATCCAGTCTGTATTTCCTTAGCTTGTTAATGAAAACAGAGTGAGCAACAGTGTCAAAAGTCCTGCTAAAGTCAAGATGCATCACATCCACTGCTCTTCCCACATCCACA